CATATTTATTACTCGTTGTCTACATACTTTTATAGTATTGTGGCCCCAGAGGTCCCAGAGAGATTGTGCCCAAATAGACGACGGTACTGCTCTTCTTGATAGCAGATTAATTTACTTCTCGGCGCTTCTGCAATCGATAATAATATAAAATAATATGTAATGCAATTCCAGTATTTTCCGTTGCTGGTAGCTTTGGAGGGGTGGTAGTTTTTAACGCGGCGCGCGGACCGCCCTCTGTGGGGCCCGAGCGGTCGGTTAGGTACAGCCCCCCGCCCCCCTCACGCTGCTCCACACCAGGCCACTCCACTATACGTGCCAAATATGCCCCACGGGTCGCATAGAAATGAATTGTTTGGATCGATTCGATCGGTGAAATGTGTTCGCGGGCCGGACTGCGCGCGGCGCAGGGGCGGGCTTGCCCCGCGGAGAGGGGTACAGTAAGCGATGGGGCCTGCACGTTGGGAGGACTAATAAAAAAAGAAGCCAAAAAACAAACAACTGCTGTTTTCCTTCATTATTAATTTTTCTCCCTGTCATTTTCTGAGGACTTTTGTCATGTCCCGCTCAATTCAGGGGTACGCTGCAATACGAAAGCCTGCAGTACATGCTAAGTTACAGCATCGAGGTCGTAGCTTCTGGTACGAGATGAAAAAAAAAAATAGCGAAAAACGGTAAAGAAACTGAAAGCACGCAGGCTGTGAGCTGCATCAAACATAAAAGGCGCGAGGGGCACGAGGCGTACTGCCGGGGTCGACCCGGGGGCGGGACGGAGGCCTCCGGCAGCAGGATCGTATAAACTTTAAAATTGAAGATTGTACTGAAGCTGAAACTTTATTTCATCGTCCAGTCTTGAGTTACTCTGCAAGTGAAAAGTTGAGCTGCTGTGTTGCTCCTCATTTTTTCCCTTTTTAATTTTTTTTGTGAGCTGTAGGACGGTGGAAGCGAGGTGGTCCGGAGGATGGCTCTGCCGCCAGGGCCTGCCTGTTCTTTTACCCCCCCCCACCCCGCCGCCCGATCCGAGGCCGCGATAAAGTCGGACGCAGACAAAACGACGCTCTGGCCGGGTCATCGCCAATCCGATGACGTCTCGATGGTGTCCCCGCCGCACTCTTATGGTGCGCCCGGGCTCCGGGCCCCCAATATGGTGGGGAGCCATCAGAGTCCTCCTTTTGTCTTCCCTGGCGGTGTTATTGCCAGCACCCCTCTTTGGCCAGTCCTCCCGACCACGGCCACGCGGTGGCGGTATGTATGGTTGAGACACAGACTAGCAGGCTTCAAATGAAACTCAAATCCCCGCATTCACTATAGGTTCAATTCGACACAACCACCTTTGGTTGGGTAGCTTTCAGACAAAGTGTGACGCCATCCTTTGGAACAGTTCAGAACTGACACTAAAGATACATGGGCAGAAGAAAGGGAATGCCCGACACAAACACTCGCTGAGATACCAACTGTGGAGCATGTGCCAATCCTGAGTGGTCGTGTCACCGGCACACCAACCGTCTGTTTCCGCTCGAGCCAACAAAATCATCCGGCAAAAACTTTTGCGAAATTTACGATTTAAATAGGGTATTTCAGTGAATCCCACTACCTGAAGTAAGAAGTAAAATAATGGAATCAAAACTAGCGGAGCGGAAGTAGCAGTTGGTGCGACCGTCAGAGTATGGCAAATACAGTCAGTCGCCTCTACGTGATCGTGATAATCTGTTCCCGCCCAGTAATTTTTCTACAAAATTTATACGTGTGTGTTCAATTGCATTTAGGAATATAGTTCGTTTCGTGATTGAGCCTGAAGTTTTCACTTTTGTTTCGGCCTTTAGCTTTTTAGTGCCTATAATAGTTTATCCATCGTGCCTCGGATTTTGTACGACATACGGACTCTAACCTCAGTGACAGTGACCCCAGTGTTCAGTTCAGCAGTCAACATCAAGACATCTGTCTTGCCTTGGTTTGGATTGTCAACTGTATCAACCGTCAAATGTATCAACTAGAATGTCTGCTGATGGACAGGTAAATATTTTTTTGTATGTCATTGTAATATAGGCATGTATTCGTATGACACCAGGAAGCTTGTTTCAAAATTATTTTTACTACTAGTCTTTTTGTTGTGGCTCTAAGAAAGACAATAATTTTGTCACATGATTTTGAAGGTCTCTATTTTTGCACGCATTGTAGTTTACGGGTGCGACCCTCAGGACAAATGTGTCTACCTGGGGGTGAGGCGGTACTTACGGTATACTGAACCATTATTAGTGGGCAATACTTTAGACCAAGTAAATAATTTTTTACTAAGCCTTATGCAGACATACTGATTTAATGTGATTCAGTGGCTCCAAACTTGAACAGCAAGTGCCCAGGAATATTATCTGCGACTGCTCAAACAGGCCTCTGGCCTTCCCCCCGCTGCCCCCAACAATATTCCAAAGGACACTTCCTGTTGATGGGGCCTCGAAGTTTATGAGTAATTGCTACGCACCTATAAGGGAGAAAGTACCTGTCATCAGAGAGCCGAGCTTATTGCGGTGCGATGGAAATTCATTTGCCCTCTGCTCTGGGCTGCCCGCCCCCGACTCGAGGAGGGGTCAAGGGTTGTGAGCCCGGCTGCGCGGCGAGCTCGAGGCTGCGGAGGGCGGAAAAGGAAAACAAAGACAGGAAGGGAAAGGAAGGTATGGAGGAGGCCCGGCCCGGCAGGCCACCGTGCTACGCCGCGCCGCCGAGGGGCCCACGACTTAGCCCCCGCCCCGGCTCCGGCTGGCCCCACTCGGCTGGGGGGCGTGGCGGGGCGTGGCGGGGCGTGGCGGGGCGTGGCGTGGTGTCATTAATTTATTCATCTCCTCATTACTCCTCGGCTCGTCTGGACTCGGGCGGGCGGGGGCTGCGTGCGAGGCGAGGGCGTCCCCGCGGGGAGGCCAGCAGGGCGGCCAGCAGGGCGCGACGAACACACGAAACAATTGCGGCCGTTTGCGAACGCCACCTCGGCCGGAGTCGGGGGCGCAGCAGTGGGGGTGAGGACGTGAGGTGGAGAGGAAGGG